GCGCTTTTTATTATTTGAAATTCATGAGACATTATTGATTTCATTCATATAGATTATCAGTAGATAAGTTATTTTATAATCGTAAATATCATTACTATTTTTTCTAACTTTATAATCACCGGTTCATTAGATATTTATAAATATATTTTTCTTTTTAGAAATTTCATTTATACATAAGGTATTTAATATATTACAGTTTGAAAATTATTTTGTACGTAGAAAATAAATTATTTTATTTTATTACAGTTTATAAAATAAAGCTAAATTTTAACATTATTTTAGCTTTAAATATGTTACAATTATTACCAATTTTCATTATTACAGTTTATAACTAATATTTTTATTTTATTTTATACACCCTCACTCTATTCAATCACTGTTTGTGAACCGATTTCCAATAGGCCAATAAAAATGTTCTAAAAAAATGGCCAGTTGGCCAATTTTGGAACAGTATGCTTTATACTATAAAGTACAATAATACAAAAATAGTTTTGCAAAATAAAATTTCCACGAATTTAAACAATTGCCTAGAAATTAATACTTTTGCCATTATTAAATTAACCTGTACTGTTACAAGTGCCACTGTACACAGACATAGACAATACACGCACGCAAACTATCAATTAATATTGTCTGTGTCTGTGTACAGTGGCACTTGTAACAGTACAGGTTAAATTACCCTGTACTGTTACAAGTGCAACTGTACACAGACATAGATAATACACACAAACTATCAATTAATATTGTCTATGTGTCTGTGTACAGTGACACTTGTTTAACAGTGCAGTACAGGTTAATTTAATAATAGCAAAAGTATTAATCTCTAAACAATTGCTTAAATTCGTGGAAATTTTATTTTTTTCAAAAAAAATAAAAGATCTCAAGTTTATATTTAAATTCAAAAATATAAATCACAAATAAAATTAAATATAAATTAAAAATCTCTAGATTTTATGTTACGTTCTAAATGATCAACAATTTTTTATATCGCTAATTATATAATATTTTAAGCCATTCCAGAGATATTTAAATTATAGCCAGAAACAACAATATTGTATTACCTAATATATGGCTGTCCATATCATATCATATATGACTGTCCATATCATATCATATATGGCTGTTCATATTTAAAGGAAAATGAAGATATAAATAAATACTTTCCACAAAATCTCTCGTAATTACAAAAATTTTAAAGCGGAAACAAGTAATGAAATAGAAAACTTCCCTGAAGGTATTACTTTGCCTAAAACTAATGCTTAAACCAAGGAATTGAATACCGCATATACCACTCAATACCGAAATTTAATCAAAATCTCCATGATGACAAAAACCCTTACTACGAGCTCAGATATAAGCCCAGTTGTTTCAGACAATGGAGATAATTTAAACTGAAAGGCCTTGATGATAGTGTAACAACCATGAAAGGCAAAACTATTTTCAAACAACTAACATATGGCAATATAAATTTAAGAGTTTTTGGCTCAAATGGTATGATCACATTACATATTACTATCGGCGGCACAGATGTGTCAGGGTTATTAGATACGGCAGCAAACCGTACCGTAATTGACACCGAGTTATGTAATAAATGAAAACTTACAATAATTAAATCAGATGATTGTATTGAGTGTACGGTAGGAACGTTCCCTATAATAGGGAAAGCGGACATGGATATAGTATTTAACAATATACTGTATCATTTAAATGCAGTAGTGATTCAAAATTTCTCAGATGAGCTATTATTAGGGACTGACTTCTTACAAATGTCTGCATTAATAATTGACTATAAAAACAAGACTATATCAAGAAATTACAAAAACTAATGTTAAAAAATTTGCTTTCTATAATGAATCCAAAATAACCATAAATCCATATTCGTGTCAACTAATAAATATTTATTGTAACACAATTTATAGCCATAAACACAATTTATAGCCATAAACACAATTTATAGCTAATAATGACAACGCGTTTCTAAAATTACAATCACTTATAAGGTGTCAAATATAATATAGTGTTATGTAATGTCAATATAAATTGCATTTTGATTGAAAATATGTTTAATAAGAATATAAAGTATATTATCATAGGATTAGTATTCATTGTTTGTGTATTGATAACGCAAAAATTTTATTATATATTATGATTTACCCTGAAGTTTAGATTTCATTTTTAAAGATTTATAGAAAAAAGTTTAAATTGATTAAATAAATAAATTTGTGAATAATAAACCAGTGCTTTTAATCGACCTGATCATAATAAACTGTATGTCTTGTGTTAAGGGTTATGTCTTCGGGATTATGTCGTTCGGGATTTTGACGTACTCCCATAAAATAAACTAGTATGTGTAAATAACATTAAAAACATTGGCAATTTATAAACATTCCCAAAAGTTGGCAATCATTTTATTTAACTTATTCGACGTTTATTATTTATTAACAGTCAATAAAATCTTATTTTAATTACATTTGTACGAAGGATTCTCAACCACAAATAAATAGAGATTTCCCAGCTGAATTTCTACATATTTGGTGTGTCCATATGACCACATGTTGTAACCAGTGTGTTTAGCATCACTGATAAAAACATTAGTGTTAAAAATACCAGTAGTATTAATATTTACAAGGTCGTCTCTTATATTGAAACTCAAACGGTTATAGCATTCATTCCTATTATAAACATCAATATCACCAAAGCACGTAGTCCTTTTGATATTTGTCGAAAAATCTTCCATGTTCCGAACGGTTATTCGTGCAATCTTAGCGCAATCATTCTCCAGCATGTTACAAGTCTTTATGTCTGGTGTTGATGTGCTGGCATTGATTATATTGGCGATTGTTTCCTGAAATAATTTGCATACCATGCTAATCAGTGTTTGATTTAAAATTGATTAACTATTAAAAGGTTCAATTATTTAATAAACTAGTTCAGTGACTAACTGGTAAATTGTTCGTTTAAATAGTTACCACTGGTCTCCACTAATAATATTTATTAATCAATCACTTAATTCATTATTAAACCTATTTTCATAGATTATTCACTCGCTGAAACGTAACGCTTAAAATGATCAAGCTATTACATTCCATCATTGTATCATTATAATATATATTAGAATTAACAATAACATAAATATATTAATAATAAACATAAATATGACAGGCAATTAATATGCTGTCATTAGTGTAAAACAGTTCCTGATAATTAATGAGAGTGTCTATGTCAATTTGAATACTTTTATTGCCATTTATAAAATAAATCAAAATTATTAATATTCGTAGCTATCATTTTGTCTATGTTTATACATTATAAATAACTACTTTGTCACTTTTGTACTTGGTTGATTTATACTAGACTTCAGATGAAAGTCTTAAAAATAACTGAATGTATGAGCATTGCCAAATATTTGACTATATAAGCACCTGTATGTTACATTACATAACAATTCTGTGGTCAGTGCTCACATTTAACATCAATTGTAAACTGTATTTTAAAATGAGTTTATAAACTAAAGTGCCTTTTTACAATAATTTGTAGTTAATTTATGAATAATAATCTTGGTAAACGCGGACAACTTTTAAAAAATAATTAAACTAGCTGATTTACGGTTACCGTGAGCTGGGTATCAGTCGGATAGCAACAGGAGCTCACAATATGTTGATATATTTATAATAACACAGATTAGTTGATAAATACTAGTAGATACCTGGTGGTTTATTATATTCAAATATTATTCAATAATTTATAATATAATTGAATAATTGAATAAATGTAATTATTGGCAAGAATTCAATAATTATAATAATATATGATTCTACAATTATTTTAATTCTCTAATTACTTACTTGCTTAAGTGTTTCTTGTTCATTTGGTTTAGGTATGTATAGTCCGAGCACATATCCACGATATTCGAGCTTAATATAAGACTTGAAATCTATTGACATATATAGCTGGGATGCGGTTCCGTTCACTATATACTGTCCGATCCAGCCAATATGATCAGGGTACTTTGTCTCCAATTCCTTGACCATTAGTTCAGCCAACGAAGTGGATTTGTCGAAAAAGTCCATCATTTTGCTGATCACGTGGGCCTCCATTTCGGGACTAATATTGCTGTTAATTACGTGGACGTCATCTCTGGCCGTGAATGCAGTCGAGCTTATGATTAATAATACGAATCCCTTGTAAATCATCTTGATCATTGTTCAGCTATTAATATACAATTATATTTTTTGAGTAAATATACAATATAAATGAATTAACTTGGCGAATTTAATTAGAAATAAAATACTGGAACATACAATAATGGTTAGTATAGTAATAATACGCAAGAATTCAATTTCAACTGATATTTGTTATATGAATGAGTGAATGGAATAACGGGTTATCTTATATACTGTCCAAAGCACTATGTATTGGACTATAGGTAATGTATTAACCAAGTACAATGTATTATCTATAGTTAATAGTTAAATACATAGTGTTAGGATATAGAGTATATAATGTATAACCAAGTACTATGTGTTACTGTATTATCTATAGTTAATAGTTCAATACATAGTGTTTGGATATAGAGTATATAATGTATAACCAAGTACAATATGTTACTGTATTATCTATAGTTAATAGTTCAATACATAGTGTTTGGATATAAACTAGATAATGTATAAATATAGTGCAACAAATACAATATACCTGTCGTTCAGTTATATACAATATACCCGGATATAATTTTTATATATTGCGATATTGTAAATAACATTATCAAACTTAAATCCAGCGTTTGCTGCGCTTTTTATTATTTGAAATTCATGAGACATTATTGATTTCATTCATATAGATTATCAGTAGATAAGTTATTTTATAATCGTAAATATCATTAC